TAATGGCACTTAATACTGATGAGTAATCTAGTGGCAGCTGCCAGGATTGAAGCTTTGATTGGATGATAATCCTTTTTTTCTAACAGTGAAATGAAGGCAGGGTTTCAAAATATGTCTGATAGCATAGGGGTAGGTTAGCTGATAGCTAATCATGTCTAAAGACTCTTTTTACTAGGGAAAATTTTTGGTCTTTAATATACACTGAGTGGCCAGGTTATTATGACCACCTGACATTTGTAGATAAATTAGCTATAATTCGTGCTGAAGTTGCTACAGGGCCAGACCACTATAAATAGAGAAGCAGGTTGTTTACCACGACAGTAGAAGTGAGTTTTTTTCCTGAAGATATGGGTAAACAATGTGATTTAACAGCCTTTGAATGTGGGATGATTATTGGTGCTCAGAGCCATGGAGCGAGTATTCGCAAAACAGCTGAATCCATTAAATCAGTGGTTCTAAACCTTCCTAATGCCTCGACCTTTAATATAGTTCCTCATGTTGTGGTGACCCCCAACCATAAAATTATTTTCGTTGCTACTTTATAACTGTAATTTTGCTACTGCTAATACTTACATTACGATTCATAACAGTAGCAAAATTACAGTTATGAAGTAGCAACAAATAACTTTATGGTTGGGGGTCACCGCAACATGAGGAGCTATATTAAAGGGTCGAGACGTTAGGAAGGTTGAGAACCACTGTGTTAAATGTTCAAGAGCAGCTGTTGTTAAAATGTTTAAAGACTGGACTGTCAGCCGAAAATCTGGGCCTGAACGTGCAAATTGTGGCCATCAGTGACTAGTCAATGTTAGGGAAGAACGGACAGTGGCAAGACTGGTACAAGACAACAGAAGGGCAATAGTGCATCAGATTACTGTAGATCTTTTTTTATTTTATTTTATTTAAAAAAAATATGTTTTATTGATTTTTTACAGAGAGGAAAAGAGAGGGATAGAGAGTTAGAAACATCGATGAGAGAGAATCATCGATCAGCTGCCTCTTGCACACCCCCCACTGGGGATGTGCCCGCAACCAAGGTACATGCCCTTTGACTGGAATCGAACCCGGGACCTTTCAGTCCGCAGGCCAACGCTCTATCCACTGAGCCAAACCAGTTTCGGCAGATTACTGTAGATCTTAATCAGGGATCCTTTCAAATGATCTCTGAATGCACTGTTTGTCGTACACTGCATTGTATGGAATATGGAAGCCCAAGGCCTGTTCGAACATCTTTCCTGTCTGCAGTTACCAAGGTAAAAGTCTCCAATTCTCACAGGAACACAAGGATTGGACAGTCGAGCTTTGGAAAAAAGTCATATGGTCTGATGAATCATGTTTCCAGTTGCATCATGTAGATGGCAGAGTGAGAATTTGGAAGAAACAGCATGAAAGCATGCACCCCACATGAATGAGTACAACCCTTCAAGCTGGTGGGGACAGTGTTATGGTTTGGGGTATGTTTTCCTGGCATGATTTGGGCCCTTTAATTCATATGGAACAAGGTCTGAGTAGCACAACATACCTAAGTATTGTTGCTGATCAAGTTCATCCTATCATGTTGATGGTGTATCCCAATGGAGATGGCTTCTTCCAACAAGACAATGCACCATGCCACAGTGCTCATATTGTGTAGGAGTGGTTTCAAGAACATGAGGGAAACTTTACCTTACTTAGGTGGCCCCCACAATTGCCAGATCTCAATCCAATTAAGCATTTGTGGGACGAAGTTAAAAGAACCATCAGGCAGCTGGTTCCACAACCATCAAATCGCACAGAATTGGACATCAGGCATGGTGTCAGATCTTTCAACATCTCGTGGAGTCAGTGCCAAGAAGAATCCCCGCAGTATTGAAGGCAAAAGGTGGCCCAATGAAGTACTGTGAGGTGGTCATAATAATCTGGCGACTCAGTGTATAGGAGTGATTCATTATAACTGTGAATAAAATAGTTGAGCAAACATTTGATTAAAAAAGTGTTTTTATTGATTTCAGAAAGAGGGAGGGAAAAGGGGGGAGAGAGAAACAATAATGAGAGAGAATTGGCTGCCTCCTGTTCCCCCTACTGGGGATTGAGCCTACAGCCCAGGCATATGCATGTGCTCTGACCGTGAATCAAACCATAACCTTCTTGTTTATAGGTCAACATTCAACCACTGAGCCACATGGACCAGGCTGATTTTCTTTTTAACATGTCTGACATTTGGGGAGAGGAGAAGCTATAGTAAGGCCTACAGTTTTTTATCTGAAACTGTTGGGATCAAATTATTTCAAAAATCAGAATTTTTTGAGAAACCAAGATGGCAGCATAAGGTGTAAACACCTAAATGCAGTCTACCACAACAATTTTAACCCTTTGCACTCCGAACCATTCTGGACATTGGCTACCAGCTACTCGACGCTACTTTGCGAAACGTGCGTTGAATTAACTCAATTCCCCGTAATCACTAATAAACTGCAATGTCCCCTGAGAGGGGACATCTGAGTGATATGCTAGAATTCCAATGTCCCCTGAGAGGGACAGTGGAGTGCAAAGGGTTAAAATTACAACTGGAAAACAGAGCAAACATCACCCTGAACCACCAGAATCCTGGCTGAGTGGAAGCTCTACCATCTAGGAAGGGAAGAGAAAGGACACTGAGCCTCAGGAGCTGTGGAGGTGTGGAGATCTGTGCGCGCGGAAAGGGTGGCTGCTGAATAGGCTGCTGGCTTACTTGTGGCTTGCGTGGAGAGGGTGGGCAGCTAACATGCGGCTAGCTTTTCTTGTTCGGGAGGAAAACAAAACCTCCCTGTTGCACTGATAGCTAGTTCCAGTCTAGGAGAAATTGGACTGTCAGGTAGTGGACAAAACTCAGAGGTGTGTGTGGCCAGCAGCCATTACTGTGGGACTCAGGAGCAGAACCCTCTTAGGTCGAGGCTGACAGGAAACCAAAGCTTGTTTGTGCCACCCCAAGACTCCACCTCATCCAAGCGGAGCACAGAAGCCCTCCCAGTGGCTAGCTTTCTCGTTCGGGAGAAAAACAAAACCTCCCAAATGCACTGATAGCCAGCTCTGATCCGAGGAGAAACTGACTGTCAAGGAGCAAGCAAAACTCGAGAACCGCCTTCCCCCAAGTGGTGCGCATGCTAACAGCCAGTGTTGCGGGACTCGGCGAATAGGATTTTCTTAAGGCGGGGCTGATGGGAAACCAAAGCTTGTCTGTGCCACTCTGAGACTCTGCCCCATCCAAGCTGAGCACAGAAGCCCTCCTAGCTGAAACACTGCTGATTCTCACAGCCAATTGACTTGGAGATCAACTCTCCCCATTGAAACCAACAACAAGCAAGGCTTAGCAAGATTGCACACACAGCCCACAAAGGGCTGCACCAAGACTGTCTACCTCAGGTAGCTGGGAAGGCTGAGCTACTGGGCCTTGCTAGGACACCTAGCACACAAAGCTACTCCATCAACTCAGGGAAGCAGCTAAAATGCAGAGAAGAGGCAAGCTACAAAGGAAGGAAATTGAGGAAAGCAAAAAAATGGACATAGAGTTCAAAACCACAGCTAAAAGGTTTTTCAAGAATTTCCTAGAGGAGGCCGATAAAATGAGACCTTTGAGGATATGAAAAGGGATCAACTAGAAAATAAAGCATACACTGACTGAAATAAAAAATATTATACAGAGTCGTAAAAACAGAATGGAAGATCACAAGAATCAAGTCAAAGATTTGGAACACAAAAAGCCAGAGGACACTCCTCCACAGAAGTAAGAAGAGAAGAGAATCTAAAAGTTGAAGATAGTGTAAGAAGCCTCTGGGACAACTTTAAGCGAACCAACATCAGAATTATGGGAGTCCCAGAAGAAGACAGAGAGCAAGATACCGAAAACATACTGGAAGAAATAGTGACAGAAAACTTCCCCCACCTGGTGAAAGAATTAGACTTACAAGTCCAGAAAGAGCACAGAACCCCAAATAAAAGGAATCCAAAGAGGACTACACCAAGACACATCATAATTAAAATGCCAAGAGCAAAAGACAGAGAATATTAAAAGCAGCAAGAGAAAAGCAGTTACCTATAAGGGAGCACCCATATGATTGTCAGCTGATTTCTCAACAGAAACCATGCAGGCCAGACAGGAATGGCAAGAAATATTCAAAGTGATGAATAGCAAGAACCTCTACAACTAAGATTACTCTACCCAGCAAAGCTATCACTCAGAATTAAAGGCCAGATAAAGAGCTTCACAAATAAAAAAAAGCTAAAGGAGTTCATCACCGCCAAACCTGTAGTATATGAAATGCTGAAAGATATTCTTTAAGAAGAGGAGGAAGATAAAGATAAAAATTATGAGCAACAAACATGTAACTATCAACAAGTGAATCTAAAAACCAAGGGAATTAAAAAATCTGATGAACAATATTAACTGGTGAATATAATAGAATCAGAGGTATGGAAAGGGAGTAGGCTGATGATTCTCGGGGAAGGAGGGGGTGCGGGAAGAGGCTGAACAAAAATAGTACACCTATGGATGAGGACAGTGGGGGGTGAGGAAAGGCCAGAGGGTGGGGTAGGAACCTAGTGGAGGGGAGCAATAGAGAGAAAAAAGAGAAACAATTGTAATAATCTGAACAATAAAGATTTATTTAAAAAAAATAAACAGAATTTTTAGGGTTTTAGAAAGATAATACCATACATAAAACTCCTAGGTGGGTCTGGAATAGCATCTTCTAGTAGTAAAACACATATTTCTGCAGCAAAAGATATGAGTATTCATACTTAAGTGGGATCAATACATTCTGTAAATAAATTTGTGCCAATTTTTGTCAGGCTTAATCATCAAATGAGTTTTGGAAGGTTTTGGAATTTGAAATTGAGGATGAGGGATTGTGGTTCTGTACTTACATTTGTTAACCAGTAGATTTAGTTGACAATAAATTGACTGGAAGCTAGATGCATAAAAGTTATTTCAAGATATTTTTTAGTTGAGGAATTATAATTAATTACTGTCTCTGGGTTTCTAGGATTTGTACTGTGTTCGCAGTGACCTGGGGAACCTGCTCAAAGCCCTGGGTCGCTTGGAAGAAGCCAAGGTAGGTGTTTGATAGAGCACATTTAAACATCAGTGTTATGAAAACTTGTACTTTTTGCCAAGTCTTCAACTCTTCATTGAGCTGTCTTCACAAAACAGTCCTAAGAAACTGAGGAAAACTGACGGCATGTATCGCCTCAGACTAGAGCAGGGCCAGGCTTTGGCATATCTGTTCTAAATCTGGGGGTAAAGCAAGAACCTGAACATCTTGGAGCCTTTCTGCTGAGCTAGATCATCTTTATAACATTGGGCTCCGACATGATCTTTTGTGGGAATAAATAACATTCCTTCAAATCTGAGGCTTGCCTGCTGGTGACAAGCAGAGCGCCTGTGATTTGGCTCAAGACTCCTTATGATGCAGGTGCCATTGAAAATGCTGCTCTTCTAAGTCCTTTGTGGCTTGTAAGTGGAGAAGAACTTCATCCAAATGTTACCCTGTAATACTGGCATTTAAAATCTTATTTAACCTTCCTCCCTCCATCTTCCTCACCCTTTTTACAGTGGAAGAAAGGCTGTTAAGATGATTGCAAATTAGTAATTGGAACATCCTGCCCCTTCTTGTCCCCATTCCTTCCTCCTAGTTCCTTTTCCCTCTTTTCCAATCCTAGTTGTCTACCTTTTCCCCCCCTCTTTACTTCTTTTATTCCTCCCTACCTCACCTCCTTAAAAAACAACAACAACAACAACAGAAACAAAAACACGTCAGGACAAAGCTGGTTTGTTTGGGAAATGGACTGATCGAAAGAAAACTTGCCGAAGTGGAAAGGTGGCTTTTAGCATTCTGTGTTACCAAATAATGAATTTGAACACCAGGTTGGGTTATTAAAGCATTTGGTATAATTTTAAATTAAATTTATAAATGAAATTGTCTTGTTACAAGCCACCTTACGCAACCGCGCTGCAGGGGTGAGGAGTGGGGAGAAACCAGAATGCTTCTGAAACTCCCACCTGTTGCTCTGAGCCCCACGCGCATGCTAATGCGTGGAGTGTATGCGCAGCGTAGCTGTCTGTTTGCCTGCTTTATCCAGGGAGGGCGAAGGCTTTTTAGTATCTCATGTTCAAAGGCACTAGTTTTAAGTGCATAGTTCATAAATTCTGCTGACACTTTGGATTAACCTTATGAGGTTAATAAATGAATTATAATTGATTTCAGTCTTAGCTGATAAATCCAATTGGTAATTTATATAGCAAATTTTTGATAAGCTCCTATTAATTATTACACCACCAAGCCGACAGCTAACATGAATTGCACTTCACTGCAGCTTTAGAGATCGGTTTAGGCTGAGACATTGCGCCTGCCTTAGGTTGCTGACTTCTTTATTTCAGAGCTCTGGAGACACCTAGTTTGAAAAATGTTATTCTGTTTTTGTGAGAACTAGTGAACAAGAAAATACTCTTGAGTGAAATGCAATGTATTTCTTTTGTAATCAGTGCATTTGAAAATTCAAGCCAGCATATTCCTAGTAGATGGAAGCAAATTGAAGTGTCTTTGTAGAAAATGAAGAGCCTTTCTTCCAGTAAAAATCCCTGCTGTATGCAATAGCCCTGATTAACCCTCTCCCTTCTGCATGTTTCCCATGTTACAGACTTGAGACTGTCCTCATTCCCATATGTAATAGACATCCAAAGAATTTCAATTGCTTTGTTGAACTTTTACTAATGATCTTGTTTTTATTTTCTCTCTTGTTTTTGGTTTTTCACCATTGATATTGTATTTAGAAGGTTTCAGGTGGGTGAAACCTCCTATTCCATGCGTAAGGTGCCTCGCTGAAGGGAGCTCGAGGCCTGGATCTAGGGCAGACACACACCTCCTCCTCTTCCAGCAAGGAACGCACCGAAAAGTCACATGATGAGAAATATGGTAACGGGTTTGTAACTGCCACAGCAAAACAATTTGCCTCCATGCCTGAATCTTCTGTCTTGTGGCTTCAGAAACAGCTTAAAATAATTTTATTTACAAGCAAGTTATGTAAGAGAATGTTTTAAATTATAGCCACAATTCTGTCAAAGATAAGTAAAAGTTAATTGATATTAAAAATTATTAGATAATTTACTAGTAAAAGCTTCTAACTCTTCTTGTTGTTCATTTTTTTCCTTTTTTCTTCTTTGTTTGGATTGCAGCATTCTGCTCTTCTGATGATGCGCTGTGACCCTGCAGTAGCGCAAAGGCTGCGCAGCGTTAATGCGCAATGCGTGCAAATGAGCCCCTGTGAACGGTTGACTAGATGAGTAATCTGATTGACTGGCTCCCTCAGTCCTATTCTGTAGCCTTTTTGGATAAAATTGGGTTTTAACATATCTCAAGTCCAACTAATCACATTAAACAAATATTCTCCATGGGCCTGTCTAGTAGATTAATGGATCTGGTTGGCCGTTTGCTGCGTCTAGGGGTGTTCTATGTAGCGCAGCAGTTCGCAGCGATTGCGCAGTGCGACGCTGTTAGGTTGCGCAAGCGATGTTTGCGCTCGCATTACAGGGACCTCAACCTAGGTGCAATCCTGTCATATGAGGTTTCAGCTTCAGTCCCTCTTGGGAGATAGGGACATTGCAAGGATGTAACTTATACCCTGGGTTTATATCTAACTTGGCAGAAAAACATTTTTCTTCCCAGTAGCATAGCTTTGCTGTTAGAGAAGAACATAATTGTTTAGAGCAGCATTTCCCAAATTGTGTTTTATAGTATACTAATAAAATGAAAGAAGAGGTCTAGGATCAGCTGAGATCAGGAAACCATGTATATATACTATTAAGGCTTAGGGAAGTCCTGTTGTAAAGAAACCTGTTCTAATTTATTTGATCATGAAATACTTTTTCCATTGAAACCTATCAACACCTCAGAGAACTTACTTTGGGAAACGGGTGGGGTTAGGGGGCTTGGCTTTAATTAAACGTGCCCTCTAGATATCTCTTGAAAAGATAACAAGCCCTTAGGTGCTCAGTTAAGAGAAGTCTAGCATAGATTCTTAAGGCAACTGATTTCCCAGATAAGTCCCGTTGTAAGGGTTGGTCATTGGTTGGCAGAACTGAACATGGTGGTTTGCACTTGGGTTCTGGTGGCGCAGGCGCAGGAGCAGCCAGCTGTGGCAGCGCATTAGTTTTGGCGCAAGCGAGCCTATGCTGCAGGGTCACTTTTGGCTGGTTAGAGAAGGAATAATGATATCACCTTCTTCCCTCCCCCCCCCAATCTTTTTTTTCCCTGTACAAATTTTCCCCTTTCCCTTTACCTCCTTTCCCTCCCATCTTCTTTCATTAACCCCTCCTAAGGCATGTTATTTGAAAGCAATTGAGACGCAACCGAACTTTGCAGTAGCTTGGAGTAATCTTGGCTGTGTTTTCAATGCACAAGGGGAAATTTGGCTTGCAATTCATCACTTTGAAAAGGTTAGTCATTAAATTAATAATTGGTATTTATGATGTGCTCATGTGCACAAAGTGTTTTTAAATAGAACTACATAATATGCCTTTACTTAACCAATCACGCAATATCTTTGTTCCCTGACAGTATTATAGCATTTGCTGGTATGAGATATGGTAGTTTCCAGTTTTGCATTGAAAATATATTTTTAGTAATAAAAAACCCTTAAAAAATACAAGCAGCTTTACTGTAAAGAAGCAGGGCTTCTTGGTAAAAAGGCTGATCCAGGGCAAGAAATGTACAAATTTACCTGGAGTGCCTTGTCATACCAGAAAGCAAGGAAACTTTGTGTCTAAAAATACTCAGGAGGCTTTTTAGACACAAAGAGGAGAGGAGGACACAAAAAGACTGAAAGAGACTCCTATTGGCTAAAGATGGGACTTGAGCATCAGTAGGAAAAATAACTGAAATATATTAAAACTTGTCAGATATGTTTAAATCCATGAATTCGTAATTCTACTCAGAAGAAATTCATTGGTTACTTTTGGAAGATAAGGAGCAACTCATTTTGAAAACTGGTTGAAAAGGGAAGAATAAAACATAAATTCTTTCTCCATTTTGTGAACTGGACCTTAGGGTAACAGTAGTTGATATGGGAAAGTTTCTGTTTATAGAAATATTTCAGCTAATTAGTGAAGAAGGAATGATAGAATCAGAGTAACACCATTAATAGATTTAGGAGTTTATCAGTGACATAAAAGAGACAAACAGTCAGAGATTGTGTACCTTGTGATGGAAGTAAATAATTGTGCTAGGGAAGTAGCCTTGCAAAACAAGGAAAGAACCCAAATCTGATTAAGCTTCTAGTTTTAACTACCAATTTATAGGAAATACATTGGACAGAGAAACATGTTAAAGGACACTGTAGGGGTGCAATCAGCAAAATCCAATCCATGAGAAGCTATAGGACAGTGATCTGATTTCTTGAACCAATTACAGGAATAAAAATGGTTATTTAAATTAAGTCTTTAAAAGATTAAAAGAACCTGACAAAGTCATGTTGACAAATTGGATGGGTCTTATTTGGATCCTGAATCAAAACTGATGAGGAATTGTACCAATGAATTGATATTTGATATTAAGGAATTAATGTCAGTTTTGTAGTTGTGATATTGATATTACGGTTATGTTGGGAGGAAAAAGTCCCTGAGGTACATTTTGGAATATTTTAAGATGGACTGATATGTCTTGGGTTAGCTTCGAAGTGATCTGGGAAGAGGGAAAGGTAGGTTGGAATTTAGACCAAATAAGATTGAACATGATTAGCCGTGGCTAGATATCTCAGTTGTTGGAGCATCGTCCTGATACACCAAGGTTGTGGGTTTGATCTCCAGTGAGGGCACATACAAGAAGCAACCAGTGAATGCATAAATAAGTGGAAGAACAAAATTGATGTTTCTCTCCCCCCTCTCTGAAATCAATTTAAAAAGAGGATTGGACATGATTAATTGTTGAAGCTGGGTAATAGAGACCTGGGAGTTGGTTATATTCCTCTGCTTTTGTATATGTTAGAATTTTTTCATAGTAAAAAGTTAAGAGTTTTGGAGGTGAGCATCTTATCACTTGAGACAATCTTAAGTGCATCACTTTACTATATAGTTGGCATCTAAGTGAAAAGGAAGTGTTCTTTATGAACCTTTAATGTATTCACAGTTACTACCTTTTCAGTGTTTCAGTTAAGGTTTGCAATTAATTACGCCTCTCTTGCTCAGTGATTCCCTATCTTGGTTGCACATGAGGAGCTTATAAAAGATATGGATGACCTATCCTCAGAGGGTCTGATTTAACTGGCCTGTGATGAACTCCAAACACCTTTTAGGTGAATTCTTAATATACTTCCCAGGTTGAGAATCACTGCTCTAGATATATAGGGCATATTTTAAGACAACTTCAGAATTATCTGGATGAAATGATTTAATGGTTTCTTCTTTAAGTAGTGTATCTTATTGAGTATACAACTCTAATTACATAGCTTGCTAAGGTCTTACTGAATACATAATTGCAGTTGCTGAGATACATATATTCTTTTTCAGTTAGTTTGTTGCTTCTTCCTGCCTTTATTTATTTATTTTTTTTTGGAAGATTTAGGCTGATTAATCATTAATAAAATAGGGCCAACCATTAGAAGTATTCAGAAAAATGAAATTGGAGTAGTCCCAATTAAAAAATTTTCCCTTCAGGATATACTAGTATACCTTTTATATTTCATGAGAAGTTATTTGATAACATTGAGATTTGTGAATAGTAGTAGGTAATGAGTAGGTACTAAAATAATTGGGTTTTAAAAATAAATAGATTTAGCCAAAACCGGTTTGGCTCAATGGATAGAGCCTCGGCTTGGGGACTGAAGGGACCTGGGTTCGATTCTGGTCAAGGGCATGTGCCTTGGTTGCGGGCATATCCCCGGTAGGGGGTGTGCAAGAGGCAGCTGATCAATGACTCTCATTGATGTTTCTAACTCTGTATCTCTCTCCCTTCCTCTCTGTACAAAATCAATAAAATATATTTAAAAAAAAATAAATAGATTTAATGCACTAGAAAATATAGAGATCTGTCTCACATGTTCTCAATAAAAATTCTTAATTGGGAAATGAATCTGAAATCCTAACTTGCTTTGAGTAACTACTGTCTTGTAACTTTCAGGCTGTCACCCTTGATCCCAATTTTCTGGATGCTTATATCAATTTAGGAAATGTCTTGAAAGAGGCACGGATTTTTGACAGGTGAGAGTATGTTCTATTTGATAATCTTGAGTTTTTGTAGTATTGACACTTGAGAGTTTAGACTGAAATTATGACAGTCTTCCATTGAAATAATTTTCCTTTCCTAGTATAATGTTTATCCCTGATCAGGTCTGCTGGTTACCTTTCATTTATAGGTGTTGTTGCCTGACTTCATTGTTGGCTTTCCACAAAGCCATTATTCTCACTTTAGAGTTCAGTTGAAATTTTATTTATTGTAAAAATATTGAAATGGTTATCTTTTAGACTAACTTAGTTCTTTGATCTGATTCAGAAAGCTAAGTAAATTCTGACTTTTTTGGTTGTCAAAGGAAAGCCTATTTCTTAGGTGGTTATAGAAAACTTTTCAGTGTAAAAATATATTTTATAAAGGTGCAGTTTTGATTTGAGGTTATAGTATAGCATGAATGAATTATAACTAATTACAATTAATTGATATACTTATGTATAGTATAGCATGAATTAATTGTAACAAAGCATCCATTAAAAGTTAGTCGCATTTTGTGTGTGTGTGTGTTTTTATTTACAGAGCTGTGGCAGCTTACCTTCGTGCTCTAAGCTTGAGTCCAAATCATGCAGTGGTGCACGGCAACCTGGCTTGTGTATACTATGAGCAAGGCCTAATAGATCTGGCAATAGACACCTACAGGCGAGCTATTGAACTGCAACCACATTTCCCTGATGCTTACTGCAACCTAGCCAATGCTCTCAAAGAGAAGGGCAGTGTAAGGATTTTTATTCAGTCTATTTCTTTGTTATGTGGTATGATTATAAAAGTCTTTTTTTTTGTACATTGTATTGAGAATTGTGGTGATAAATTGTTTTCATTCAGAGTTTTGGTTGAGAGGAAGAAGAACAAAAATATTTTCTGGGATCTTGACCAGCACTAAGCAATTGTTAGAATCATATCATTGGTAGTTCTGCGATTCCTCTGTATTGGTTTTGAATAGTTTGCTTTGTTTTCTAGGTTGCTGAAGCAGAAGATTGTTATAATACAGCTCTCCGGCTGTGTCCCACCCATGCAGACTCACTGAATAACTTAGCCAATATCAAACGAGAACAGGGAAATATCGAAGAGGCAGTTCGCTTGTATCGTAAAGCATTAGAAGTATGTTGAGGGTGTTGTGGCTGGGTATTTTGTCACTGTGATAGTAGAGGGAGGGCTGTTAAGTTTGCCATGTTAAACACCTCTTTTGTAAAAATAGTGGGGGAATTATTCATTAAACCAGTACTTGAAAACCTAAGGTGTGAGTGAGGTCCTGTGTGACATTTAAGAAAAATCCCTACATTGAGTTTATTTTAGACGAAATCTGCACAGAAAAATAGAGTAAGTTACATTTCAAGAGACATTACCACTTAAGTATATAATTTCAGTGCCTGATTGCTATAATGGTGGTTAGTAGGTGTAGTAGGAGTTTGTAGCTGAGAGATTTTAGAAGAGAGAGATGCATAAACTAAGATGAAGAAAGGTCTATCTTATGCTTTGAAACAAAGAGAGGTATAAAATAAAGGAAGAGGTAGAATTTGAGCTACTTGGCTTTAGAGTATGACTAGGCTTGGAGAAGCTGGAGAAAAGTGCAGGAATATAGAGTTGAACAAAGTTCCTGTGGTAAGTCATCACTGTTGTTTAAGCAGGTTTTTTGAACTTCAGTTTTCTTGCTTCTTTCTAGGTCTTCCCAGAGTTTGCTGCTGCCCATTCCAATTTAGCAAGTGTACTGCAGCAACAGGGAAAACTGCAGGAAGCTTTGATGCATTATAAGGAAGCCATTCGGTAAGATAACAGCCTTTTTTTTTTCCTTTTAAAGTTTTGGCATTTGGCTTGTGCTAAAATAAGAGACTAAATTCACATTACAGGGGATTAAAGGAGCTTGTACCTGATAAAACCTGTATCCTCTTCTTTAGAATCAGTCCTACCTTTGCCGATGCCTACTCCAACATGGGAAACACCCTAAAGGAGATGCAGGATGTCCAGGGAGCCTTGCAGTGTTACACCCGTGCCATTCAGATTAACCCTGCATTTGCAGATGCCCACAGCAATCTGGCTTCCATTCACAAGGTACTCCTGTTTATTGTAATATGTACATCTTGACATGTAATGTTTGATTGTAGGACAAAATTTAGCCATTTCACTCTATTTGCAGGATTCAGGAAATATTCCAGAAGCAATAGCTTCTTACCGCACTGCTCTGAAACTTAAACCTGATTTTCCTGATGCTTATTGCAACTTGGCTCATTGCCTGCAGGTAAAGAATAACAAGCCAGTAATTGGCTTTCCATGTTGTAATCACTTTTGTATTGTTATGGACCATATTAATCAAAGCCTCTCTGGAGACTGTTTTTTTTTTTTTTTTTAAAGGTTATTTGCCATTAGGCTAAAGACATGTAAAATGTTAAATCTTGGAAAAGGGTTTTCTGTATAACTTATTTTTTTTTTTGTCTCTAGATTGTCTGTGATTGGACAGACTATGATGAGCGAATGAAGAAGTTGGTCAGCATTGTGGCTGACCAGTTAGAGAAGAATAGGTTGCCTTCTGTGCATCCTCATCATAGTATGCTGTATCCTCTTTCTCATGGCTTTAGGAAGGCCATTGCTGAGAGGCATGGGAACCTCTGCTTGGATAAGGTGCGCCTCTTTTGTTTTCATCTTTTTGTTATAAAAAACATACAGAAACTACATCAATCACACGTGTTGCTTGATGAGTTACCATAAGGTGAACACTACCCAAGTTGAGAAATGAAACTTTGTCAGCCACCCCAGAAGCCCCTTCTGTTGTGTTCTGTTTCAGTTAGAACTCAGTCCATCCCACAAGGTGGGATTCTTAAATGGAACAGGTTCAATAAATTGTTAGTGTTTTTCTTTAATTTGAAAATCGTAATGTTCATTAGATTTCACTTAGCATGATATTCTGCAATGAACATAATAAACAAGCAAAATAGAAACAAGCTCATAGATACAGAGAACAGACTGACAGGTGTCAGAGGGGAGGGAGATTGGGGGGATGGATGAAATAGGAGAAGGGATTAAGCAAAAGAAATCCAAACTAATAGACAACAGTATGGTGATTACCAGAGGGTAAGGGGGTGTGGGGAAGGTAGAAGAAGGTAAAAGGGAGCATAAATGGTGACAGAAGGAGACTTGACTTTAGGTGGTGAACACACAATACAATATACAGTTGATGTGTACACTTGTACACTTGAAACCTATATAAATTTATTAAATGTCACCTAAATATTTCAGTAATAAAAGAAAAAGCCATAATGTTTAATAAAGTGTTGATATTTTATACTCACTTATGAGAATTAGTGCACTACATACTTGATCAAAGGTGAGAATTTGCTTGGTAGAATATATTGGACTGCAAAGTATAATTCTGTTTGTTTTTTAAAATACTTCCCTACGCAATTTTCTAAAATGCAGGGTTTGTCATGCTCTGTCTACACTGCCTCCTTCCTGTAAATTTTAGATTTCCTCGGGCTGTTTCTGAGGGAACAGGTGAAAGTATGAAGCATATTATATAAATGGGTAAGGTTGCATTAAACTAGCTATATGAATTAAATGAAGTACTGTGTGTAAACCATTCCCAAAAGGAGGTGCAGATTTAGTGTTGTGTTTTTAGTCATTTTTTCTAGATGAAAATTTCTAACAAGTATTGGATTCCATTGGTAGATTAATGTCCTTCATAAACCACCATATGAACATCCAAAAGATTTGAAGCTCAGTGATGGTCGACTGCGTGTAGGATATGTGAGTTCTGACTTTGGGAATCATCCTACTTCTCACCTTATGCAGTCTATTCCAGGCATGCATAATCCTGATAAATTTGAGGTAAGATGAGTGTTTCCCTAGCGTCACTATCTATATATATAAAAGCCCAGCGACCGAACAGTGTAACAACCAGAACGACTGGTTGACCAGTCGCTATGATGTGCGCTGACCACCAAGGGGAAGTTGCTCAACACGTAGGAGCTGCCCCCCTGGTGGTCAGTTCGAGTCCATAGCTGCTCAGCTGACTGGGATGAGCTGAGCAGCACTCCCACAGGGGGCCAATCCCCGCAGGCCATGCCCCCCACCAATGCATGAATCCATGCACCGGGCCTCTAGTTTGTTTATAAAATAAATCCAACAAATCCCACAGTGGGCTTTATTGTTACCATTAGATGTTAAGCCCAGTGTTTTTTGGAAAGATTGGACACAAAGTTATTAAATATGCTGTGGGCTATTTTTCAGGTATTCTGTTATGCCCTGAGCCCTGATGATGGCACAAACTTCCGAGTGAAGGTAATGGCAGAAGCCAATCATTTCATTGACCTTTCTCAGGTAGGTGAAATGCTTACACTTCTTTTTGTCTTGAGCAAATAGTGAATAAAACTAGTGGCATATAGCTTGTATTTTTCATGACAAGTATTTAACCTCAGCTACCACCTATGGGCAATTGCTTTCATCTTTTTTAAAAAAATATATTTTATTAATTTTTTACAGAGAGGAAGGGAGAGGGAAAGAGGGTTAGAATCATTGATCAGCTGCCTCCTGTACACCCCTACTGGGGATGTGCCCATAACCAAGGTACATGCCCTTGACCAGAATTGAACCTGGGACCCTTAGTCTGCAGGCTGATGCTCTATCCACTGAGCAAACCAGTCAGGGCAATTGCTTTGATCTTATTTCCTTAACCGGTTAACTGAGCGGGACCTATAAATACGTCAAACATAAACACTATTGGGAATGGGTAGGACATATGAATATGTCCTTGAAATATATGTTGTGCCCTGAGAGGGACGGTATATATTTTTTGTAATTTTTAAAAAATATATATTTTATTGATTTTCTTACAGAAAGGAAGGGAGAGAGATAGAGAGCTAGAAACATCGATGAGAGAGAAACATCGAACAGCTGCCTCCTGCACACCCCCCACCAGGGATGTGCCCACAATCAATGTACATGCCCTTGGCCGGAATTGAACCTGGGACCTTTCAGTCCGCAGACCGACGCTCTACCGCTGAGCCAAACCGGCTTCGGCTGTAATCTTTATAATTGTTTGTAAAATTTATAATTTTTTAATTCGATGTTTCCATTTTTTTGTTGGTATTCTTTTCTATTTGTAATTTTGTATTTTCCTTTGTGCTTTATATATAAATAAACGAAAAAATATATATTTCATTTATTTTAATTAAGTATAAATAAAAAAAATAATAATATAAAATTACGTCCACTGGGTGTGACGTACTGACACGTCCTAGTGTAAGAGTATGCGCCCGTTGTACGTTGCGTAATTAAAAAGGGAACTCCCCGGTTAACAGGTTAATCTTATTTCCTTTTAATCAGCATGTATTTTGCTGAGGTTGCAAATGAAATGTAGGATGTTTGTGCTTGGACATAAAACTTTTCTGGGGATTCAATCAGCACTTGTGACAGTAAATACTTAATAACTGAATGAATTGAATAAAATGGTGGCTTGGAAGAAGAATAAATAGGTCATTTTAAAAATGGTTCATTTGACCTTAGCCGGTGTTCTTTGTGGTTAGAACGTTGGCCCTTGTACCAAAGGATCACAGGTTCAATTCCCAGACAAGCGCAAGTACCTGGGTTGCAGGTTAGATTTCTGAGCCCCCCAGGTCGGAATCATAGGAAGCAACTCTCACAGTGTTGTTTGTTTCTTTTCTTTTTCTCCCTTCACCTTCCTCCTCCCTTCTATTCTCTAAAATCAATGGAAAAAAATATCCTTATCCTCAGGTGAGGATTAACAACCACAAAAAAAGATTGAAACCTGTGAGGGAATTAATTTACCGAGGTATAGACAAGAGTTATTTTTTATTTATTTATTTTTAAAATATATTTTATTGATTTTTCACAGAGAGGAAGAGAGAGGGATAGAGAGTCAGAAACACCGATGAGAGAGAATCATCGATCAGCTGCCTCTTGCACACCCCCTACTGGAGATGTGCCCGCAACCAAGGTACATGCCCTCAACCGGAATCGAACCCGGGACCTTCAGTCCGCAGGCCGACGCTCTATCCACTGAGCCAAACCGGTCCTGGCAAGACTTATTTTTTTATAGACTTTATTGACCACATTGGTGACTAAAAGTGATACCCAATATATAGTATATGTAGTAATTTGTATATGAGTCTTTGAAGTCTTAGCAAGAGGCTTAGCAAGTTTTATGTCCAAGCACAAACATCCTGTCATTTAATACATAATATTTACTAACATCTTTTGCAAGATAGCTGTTGCTTTGAAAGTGATTGAAAATCATACTGCCCTCCACCTCTGAGTTCTGAAGAGACTCACTGCTTATTCTGAAGTCTAAACTCTTCAACGTGGCCTTCACAACATTGTTTGCCAATACTTTTCACCCGCCATTCACCCTTATGTATACCCTATACCCGTGGTTGGCAAACTGTGGCTCGCGAGCCACATGTGGCTCTTTGGCCCCTGAAGTGTGGCTCTTCCATAAAATATCACGGCCTGGACGAGTCTATTTTGAAGAAGTGGCATTAGAAGAAGTTTAAGTTTAAAAAATTTGGCTCTCAAAAGAAATTTCAGTCATTGTACTGCTTATATATATTTGGCTCTGTTGACTAATGAGTTTGCCGACCACTGTCCTATACCAGTTGGAAGTGATCTACTCACTATTAAAATTTTTTTCCCTCACCCAAGGCTATTCCCCCCCCCCATTGCTTTTTAGAGAGTGTGAGGGGTGAGAGAGAGAGAAACATCAATGTGAGAGAGACACATTGATTGGTTGCCTCCTGCTGGATCCCAACTGTAGCTGGGAATCTTAACTGCAACTCAGATATATGCCCTTGACTGAGAATTGAACCTATGACCTTTTGGTGTGCGGCCGATGCTCTGAGCATTGAGCAGCACCGGCAAGGGCTCACCATTTTTTAAATTTGCCATACACTTTACTCTGGTTCTTAATTCATCCTGTTCTCTATTGAGATTGTATTCTATCCAACTTCTTCAAGCTCCTATAACTTTTAAGTCCCATTTTAAATACCATCTTCTCTATGGAGCCTTGTTATTCATACATTCAGTCTATAAGTAAACTCTTTTTCCTCTGTTCAGTTAACCTTTGAACAATGCAGGGGTTAGGGATGCTGACCTCATGCAGTTGAAAGCTATGTGTAATTTTTGACTCCTTCGAAACTTAACTCCTAAAGCCTACTGTTGACAGGAAGTGTTACTGATAACAAACATGACAGTCAGTTAACATATTTTGTATGTCATGTGTATTATATACTGTATTCTTTCAATAACTAAGCTAGAGAAGATAAAATGTTAATATCATAATGGAGACAAAATACATTTATAGTACTGTACTATACTGTATATCAGTACCATAACATTTTCTGTTTATAAGGTGAATCATCTGTCTGTCAGAACCTATGTCAGTATTGTTTGACTTGATGGAAAACACTGTTATATGTATTACTAACACTAGACATAAAAAATGAAAAAATGTGAAAAAGAAATATACACTTATTTACAGGTATAATGATTCATGCATTGATAATGAAGAAGTAGCAGTGTGATTGTTTTATTTTAGCCTAGTGTAATCTACATGATTGCCTCATGGTAGCTTAGCCTGTCCTATCTAATAAAAGAGAAACATGCAAAACAACCATCACTCCACTTCGCCCACCAGCCAATCAGAATGAGTATGCAAATTAACCAAACAAAGAGGGCAGTTAATTTGCATGTGCACGTGCTGAGCAGCCTAGGTCCTGGGAACATCCTCCAGACCCAGGTAGCTCCTAGCCTGTAGGCCCTGAGTGGCAGGGGTCTCAGAACACCCCCTGGCCACTCCAAGCCTATGGGTGCAGTTGCCAAGTGGTGGTGGTTTAGGTCCATGCCCCTAGCCCAGCGCCCTCAACTGTGTGTGTGTGTGTGGGGGGGATAGCTGTTGGTCTCTGGGCTGTGTGGAGACCCTGGCAGCCACTACCCGGTGGCAGGGACATGCCCCTAGCATGAGCTGCTGAGGAAACACCTTTGAAAAATATAGATTTTGATTTTTTTTTTTTTAAACAGAGAAGAGGGGAGCGGGGTTAGACAGTCGGAAATATCAATGAGAGGGAAACATTGATTAGCTGCCTCCTGCACACTCCCCACTGGGGATGTGCCTCCAACCAAGGTACATACCCACAGGAATCAAACCTGGAACCCTTCAGTCAGGTCTATCCACTGAGCCAAACCAGTTTGAGAGTAAATACTTTTTCTTACAGCTCATTGGCTAAGCTCTCTGTAGGTCGCCACTTGCAATGTTCTTGGTAACTTGGCTAATAAAAATTCAAGAAGGTGATCTAGGGTATTTCTACCACACTCCTGAAGGAAAAGACAAAGGTCTGCTATTGCCCTAGCTGATTTGGCTCAGTGTATAGCCTCGGCCTGCAGACAGCAGAGTCCATGTTGGATTCTGGTCAGGGGCATGTACCTAGGTTGAAGGCTCTTCCCTGGCCGGGGCCCAGGTCAGGGCTCATGCAGGAGGCAACCAAAGTGTCCCTCTCACATTGATGTTTCTGTCTCTCCCTCTCTCTTCCACACACTCTAAAAATCAATGGAAACATATCCTCAGGTGAGGATAATAAAAAGAGAAATGCCATATCCTATGAAAGATACATCTTGAAAATGCCTAAAGGAAGTTGTCATTTTTTCACAGTGAAGAGTCCGTGTTGATGAAAACACCTTGGCAGCTGCATTGGCTGGCAATGGCTGTAGCAGCCGGGTAATGGGGCTGGTGCCTCCCCTTGATCAGCCTGGTCGTCTGAGATCCATCAAGGGGTCCCAAATTGGAGAGAGTGCAGGCTGCGCTGAGGGGGACCCCCCCCACCCTTGTGCATGAATTTTGTGCATCGGGCCTCTAGTGTGTGCATAAATGAATAGTTACAAAATTTTTGTGGCATGTAGTATTACAGTCATATATCAATATTGGAAACATAGTTACATTATTAAAAAACCACTTACCTTAATTATAGACTGATAGGCATATGGTAATGTAATTCTTTGAAAGCAAAGTAATAAAACAGAAAACATACATTCTTTTTTTTTTTTTTTTTTAATTCTATTGATTTTTACAGAGAGGAAGGGGGAGGGATAGAGAGTTAGAAACATCGATCAGAAACATGATCAGCTGCCTCCTGCACACTTCCTACTGGGCATGTGCTTGCAACCAAGGTACATACCCTTGACCGGAATCGAACCTGGAACCCTTGAGTCTGCAGGCTGATGCTCTAACCACTGAACAAAACCCGTCAGTGCGAAAACATACATTCTTAATATTAAATATCACACACCTTATACCTATTTGTGGATAGACTGTCCACTTCCATACAAATCTTGCACACCATGTTCTATGTTGATGAATATGTAGGTGATAATGACACAAAAATATCTCATGCAATTTTTGCCATTATTAACTATATGGCAAGATAATTTACTATTCATTGAGTGGAAGTGGAACCATAAAGGCCTTCATCCTCATATTCACATTGAGTGGGCACTGGTGGAGGAGGAACAGGATGGGTTGGTTTCTCTGTCTCCAGGGGTAGAGGTAGAAGATGTAGTAGGAGAGGCAGGCATACTTGTAATTTTTGAGAAATACATTTGTAATTTCTATTTACAGTTTTCCTTTTTCATTTTGCTAAAAATGTGTTACATTTACATGGTGCCCAACCCTTCCACTGTTTGCTTTAGTTTTAGTGCCTGTATCATAAAAGGGCTAATGTTGTAAAAAGTCAAAAGCAGTCTTGAATAAGTAGAACCCAGATTGCCTGATGTCAATTTGCTTTCTGTCACTGGTTTGGAAGCACTTATATCTATCAGATCATCTTTTATTAATTCTGGTTTGGTGCCCGTTAGCTGATTAATTTCTCTATTATCCATATCTTGAAATTTTTCAGTTCCCTGTCCCCATTTTTTTTTTTTTTTTTTGCCATATTCACAATCTTTCATGATTTCCTTGATTGGCTCTGTCATGAATCCTGCTAAATCATGCACAACATCTAAACACAGTTTTCTCCAGCAGGGATTTATTGTTTCAGGCTTGATAGCTTTTATGGCTTTTTCTGTGGCAGTGGCATTTTAATGATGTAATCCTTCCAGGCATTCACAATGTTCTTTCAATCAGGGGTCTCTTCCACAGAGTTGAGAAATTTTTCCATAGAGTACCATGTTTAATGAGCCTTAAAGGTCTTCATGACTCCCTTATTTAGAGGCTGAATTAGAGACATTATGTTTGGGGGCAAGTGGTCCATTTTGATGCCTTTGGTATTGAATTTATGCGGTTCTGCGTGGCCAGGGGCATTGTCCATATCAAAAGAACCTGAAAGGGAGTCCCAGACTGAGCAACGTACTTAGGATTCTCGTTATTCAGGTCTTCTTGTAAAACCAAAAGACTGGCATCTGGTGTTTTATCTGTTCGCTTCAGGCTTGGGGTAAAGGGGTGGGGATGGGTGGGAGGGTAGCAGCTTTATAGATAAGGGCATTCTTGATCATATACACTACTACATTTGTACAAAACAGAGTTAGCCTATCCCTTCGTGCTTTTTAAATTCTGGTACTTGCTTTTCTTTCTTACTAATAAATGTCCTTTGTAGTACCCCCAAATAAACAAACAAACAAATAAATAAATAAGGGTACCTTCATCTGCATTATAAATCTGTTCAGGCAGCTGTCTTTTCCCCCCCAATGATTTTAATGGCACCTGGGAACTTATCTGCTGCCTCTTGGTTGACAGAAGCTACTTCTCCCATTGTTTTGACAATTTTTAAAATTTTTAAAATTGATTTTAGAGAGGAAAGGAGAGGGAGAGAGAGATAGAAACATCAATGATGAGAAAGAACCATTGATCGGCTGCCTCCTGCACACCTCACAATGGGGATGGAGTCTTCAACCTAGGCATGTGCCTGGACTGGAAATTGAACTGTGACCTCCTGGTTTATAGGTCAGTGCTCAACCACTGAACAACACCAGCTGGGCTGTTTTTACATTTTTAAGCCAAACCTCTTTCTAAAATTATCAAACCATCCTTTGTTAGCATTACTTCCTTCTACTTTAGACCCTTCACCTTCCTTTTGCTTTAAGTTGTCATAGAATGGCTTTTTCTTGAGTCATATAAGTCTATAAGTATGCCTTTCTTACAGCAGTTTGGCACCCACATCAAAGCTGCATTTGCAGTACAAAGTAGAAAGGTACTTCACAAAAGTGCAAGATTTTTGAGTCTGCTGGTATAGCTACAGATATGCTTCATGAATTTTCTTTTTTTTTATAATAGAACTTACACTGGATTTATTTATCTTGAAACTACCGCTGTAAACCTCAATATATGGTGGAATATACCAAGCAATTCAACTTTTTCTTGTAGTGTCACGACTGCTTCTTGGGAGCACTTTCAGTATCACTAGTGGCACTTTCTGTGGGTCCCATGTGTTATTCAAGGTTTATGGCATTGTATTAAACACCATGAAAAGTATGGAAGGGCCATGAGAGATCACTTTTGACTGCCATACACTATTTACTGGAGAGATGAACTGCTTGCACAGAGATGATTAGCATCACATGGCATTTTAAGCAGATACAGCAGTTGATCTCACTGCAATAGCAACAGGAGGGGGCTATGAAATTATTACAGTAGTACGGTATGTACTACAGTTAATTTTATGAAGTTATAATACCACATCTTTATGTTTATTTACATTTCTCTCAACTGCAAATGGAGTCATACACTGAGTGGCCAGATTATTATGATCTTTGAACACATTAATCTGGCCACTCAATGTATATCCTATATAATAAAAGGCTAATATGCAGATTGTCCCTTCGACCAGGAGTTAGACCATCAGACAGGCTGGCTAACCGCCCATGTCCCCTCCCCCTGGCCAGGCTGGCCAGACCCCACCCATGCACAAATTCATGCACTGGGCCTCTAATACGCGTGCGTGTACACACACACACACACACACACACACACACACACACACACACTCTCACACTCTGAGTGGCCAGATTATTATGCGTTCAGAGGTCATAATTATCTGGCCACTCAGTGTATGGTCTGGAAATATTACAGTTTTGATCCATTTTAACTTTTATACTCGATTTTTGTACATTTTTATGGTAGTAAATGATGAAATAGAATAGCTAGTATCTGTATATGTTTTATGCATTCATAGCATAACTTTTTTGTGGCATGTTTTTTTTCTCAATAATTCTAGGCTATGTAATTCATTTGTGAGTATTTTCAAACTGTCACAGGAAATTTTTGTCTCCAAAAATTTTTGCAGTATATTTATTGGAAAAAAACTGCACTGTCAAACTTGTATTGTGCAAGAGTTAAATGTATTCTGTTTCTGTAATGCTTTGGGCCCATTTTAATGGCACTTAATCATATTTTTACCCTGCATTAATATGTGTTCTTACTTTTGCATCTAGGAATCTGAATTGTATTTAATGCCAATAAAATGAATTGAATTAACCTGAGATTATACCTAATGAGTTCTTATATTTTTATTCCACAGATTCCATGCAATGGAAAAGCAGCTGATCGCATCCATCAGGATGGTATACACATCCTTGTAAATATGAATGGTTATACCAAGGGTGCTCGAAATGAACTCTTTGCTCTCAGGCCAGCTCCTATTCAGGTAAAGGATTTAATAATTGCTCACAATGTTTATTGGCCTAAAAAGATAGTAATGTCATTTTTCCCCCTCTGGTTACCTGGCATTGGAAACAATATTGCAGACATACCTGACTTAAGGGAAAAAAAGTATAGTTTTCGAAAGGCCTAGGGACAACGAATTTTGAGTGTAGAATACAATGCCCACAGTACATGTATATAGAGATATGCATTTCATAGTTGGGTATAAATAGTTCTTTTGTCTTGTAAATTGGAAAAACACTTCAGCACTTATGTTAGTCTAAAATGCTATTTGATTGCTCTTGGCTGAGTCAATCCTCCCTGTTTGTTTGTTTGTTTACTTAATTTTGGACCCTTTGGAGGAAGGTTCTCAGTCTGTTTTTCCCCCTTAGGCAATGTGGCTCGGATACCCTGGGACTAGTGGGGCGCTTTTCATGGATTATATCATCACTGATCAGGAAACTTCACCAGCTGAAGTTGCTGAACAGTATTCTGAAAAACTGGCTTATATGCCACATACCTTCTTCATTGGTGATCATGCTAATATGTTTCCTCATCTGAAGGTAGGTAGAAAAACAGTGCTATGGGGAATTGCAAAGAACTGGAGTCATTTATTTTCTTGCTAGTGTCCTTATGCATCCTAAAAGACATGTCTGAAACTTTTTTCTTCTGATTAGAAAAAGGCAGTCATCGATTTTAAGTCCAATGGGCACATTTATGACAATCGGATTGTTCTGAATGGCATCGACCTGAAAGCATTTCTTGATAGTTTACCGGATGTGAAAATTGTCAAGGTCAGAACCTGGTCAATATTGTCATTGAAATAAAGTTATCTGTGTTTGGAATCTTTTCCCTAATGATATATTTTTGTGCCATTTTTTTAAAGATGAAATGTCCTGATGGAGGAGATAATGCAGACAGCAGCAATACAGCTCTTAATATGCCAGTTATTCCTATGAATACTATTGCAGAAGCAGTTATTGAAATGATTAACAGAGGACAAATTCAGATAACAATTAATGGATTCAGTATTAGCAATGGACTGGCAACTACCCAGGTGAGAAGAGATTATTAGTGCATAATATGTACTAGGTATACATTCACCTCATTGAAATCTCGTAACTCTACCAGGTAAGTATAATTATCCCTATTTTATAGATGAGGAGATGAATTCAGTGGAAACTGGCATCTTAAATAGGTTTGTTCGATTTTAAAATTGTCTGGATTCAGCCAGTAGGTTATACTAGTGAGAATCTGTTGTGTTCAGATCTTGTTATATCCTTCTGTGGCTTTACTCTTTAAGAATGATAAACTTGGTTCTATAACTAATTTATCCTTTCCCTTTGGAGGAAGGTTAATTCTTACTCATCTTTTAAGACTTTCAGTTCAAAGAGCTCCAAGAATCTGTTCCTGTCTTTATCCGCAGATTTCTTTGGATAAATATCCAGAAGAGGGATTGCTGGGTCTTATGGTAGTTCTATTTTTAATTTTTTTGAGGAGCCTCCATACTGTTTTCCACAGTGGGTACACAAATTTCCAATTCTACCAACAGTGTATGCGTGTTCCCTTTTCTCTACATCTTCACCAACACTTGTTGATTTATTGATAATAGCCCTCTGGCAGGTGTGAGGTGATCTCTCATTTTGGTTTTAATTTGTACTTCCCTGATCCCGTGGTATACTGTAACTTCTGTAATATCTGGATATATCTTTATATCCAATGTGACACATAATTCCCTAGTTTTGTGTTCTCCACTGAATTGAAGACTTGTGTCTTAGGACAATAATGCAATATGTGCTCAATAAATATATAATGCATACTTGAATAAGTGAATATGGAGTTCTGTCACAAGATCATAAGCAAAGATCTCTGACCTCTTAGTTCAAAATTTTACTTGTACATCATTTTATACCAAGGTTGCTCAAAATGAACTCTTTGCTCATAGGCCAGCTCCTTAATAGGAAGTAAAGAAATTAATAATCACTCACTGTGGAAAACAGTATGTAAGATCCTCAGAAAATTAAAAATATTGGGCTAAAAAGACAGTGTTGTGTTCTTTTTCTCTCTGGTTACCCGATATTGGAAACACTGGAGCAGACATGTTTGACTTAAAGTATAGGTTTGTTTTTTTTGTATTTCATTTTCCCCCATAACCATTTATCCCTTCTAATCACTCTTCCATCTCCATCCCCCTTGCAGTCACCATACTAAAATATAGTTGAAATGTACAGAGAAGAGTTTTGAGTGTAGAACACAATGCCCATATGTATGAAATGACCTTACACACAAGGAATAAGTTACAGAACAATGTAAGGCAGTAACTCACATGTGGGAATTACAAGATAAGATGATAGTTGGGTATATAGGTACCCAGTAATGATCAATGTGGGGAGAGGCAGTCTTAGTAGAAAATGTTTGGAGGAATTATTTAAGTTTAGTCTTAAAGGGACATTTAGAAAAGGACATTTCATTCATGAAGAAAAGAATAAGCAAAAATGGTTGTTGGATTAATAGGGTTTTGAAGGTAACTTTTTAACCAGAATGAAAAGTTTTTATAGTGCATTACTCCCCCACCCCCACACATAGACCAAATTAAGATAATGTTATAACTTTTTTCTTTAACTTAATATGTCCTGAATATTTTGCAGTTCTTGACGGCTATACCATTTTCCACATTAATTCTTCATTGATTAAAAAAAATATCGGACTATGTTGACTTTAAGTATAATCATTGTATTCTTTTTCTTGTTCTAGATCAACAATAAGGCTGCCACTGGAGAGGAGGTTCCCCGTACCATTATTGTAACTACACGTTCTCAATATGGTTTACCAGAAGATGCCATTGTCTATTGTAACTTCAATCAGTTATATAAAATTGACCCTTCTACTTTGCAAATGTGGGCAAATGTGAGTTTATGTAGATTTGTCATTAATATGTAGAGACTGGGAAAAATTTGGTATACAGGTCTTCTTACTGAGACCGCCTCTGACCCCCATTCATGAATTGGTGTGCTCATTTCTTCTTAAAAAAAAATTATTTCCAGTTACAGTTGGCATGCAATATTATTTCAGGTGTAAAACATAGTAATAAGTTGTTTATATACTTTACAAAGTGATTTCCCCAATAAGTTGAGTACTCATCTATTGACTATATTCCCTGTGCTGTGATTTACACCCACATGGCTATTTTTGTAACTGGCAATTTGTACTACTTAACCCCTTTCACAATTAATTTTTCACCCATTCCCCAACCCCCATCTGGGGGAATATCTGGTGACCATCAACTTGTTCTCTGTATCTATGAGTTTGTTTCTGTTTTCATTTATTTTGTTCTTTAGATTCCACATATAAGTGAAGTCATATGAAATTCTCTGACTTATTTTACTTAGCATAATACTCTCTAGTTCTAGCAATGTTGTCACAAATGGTAAGATTGCATTCCTTTTTAATGGCTGGGTAACATTCCATTTTAGATATGTATGGTGTCTTTATCCAGTCATCATTGATGGGCACTTAGGCTGATTCCATATCTCGGATATTAGTGCTGCAGTGAACATAGGGGTACATATACATATTTTCAAGTTAGTGTTTTGGATTTCTTCTAATAAATACCCAGAAGTGGAATTGCTGAGTCATATGATAAAAATTTTTAAGGAACCTCCATGCTATTTTTTATTTATTTATTTTTTAAATTATTTTTTTAAAAATATATATTTTATTGATTTTTATTTATTGATTTTTAATATATTTTACTGATTTTACATAGAGAGGAATTGAGAGGGATAGAGAGCTAGAAATGTCGATGAGAGAGAAACATCGATCAGCTGCCTCTTGCACACCCCACACTGGGGATGTGCCCGCAACCAAGGTACATGCCCTTGACTGGAATCGAACCCGGGACCCTTCAGTCCGCAGGCCGACATCTCTATCCACTGAGCCAAACCGGTTTTGGCCATGCTATTTTTTATAATGACTGCACACCAATTTGTAATCCTACCACAGTGCACGAGGGTTCCCTTTTCTCCACATCCTTGCCAACACTTGTTAGTTGATCTATTGATGTAGCCATTATAACAGGTGTAAGGTGATAACTCATTGTGGTTTTAATTTGCATTTCCCCAGTGATTAATGATGTTGAGCATCTTTATATGTTTGTTGGCCATCTTTGAAGAAATACCTGTTTATTAGGTTCAGTTTTCAATTGGATTTCTTGTTTTTTGGTGTTAAGTTATATGAGTTCCTTATATATTTTAGATATTAACTTTTAAAAAAAATATATTTTATTGATTTTTTACAGAGAGGAAGAGAGAGGAATAGGGAGTTAGAACATCGATGAGAGAGAATCATCGATCAGCTGCCTCTTGCACACCCCCTACTGGGGATGTGCCCGCAACCAAGCTACATGCCCTTGACCGGAATCGAACCCAGGACCTTTCAGTCCGCAGACCGACGCTCTACCGCTGAGTCAAACCGGTTTCGGTGATATTAACTTCTTTTTAAAAAATATATTTTAATTGGTTTCAGAGAGAGAAAGGGAGAGGGAAAGAGAGAGAAAAACTTCCATGATGAGAGAGAATCATTGATTGGCTGCCTCCTGCATGCCCTGTATTGGGGATTGATCCCGCAACCTGGGCACGTGCCCTTGACTGGAATTAAACCCGGGACCCTTCAGTCCACGGGCTGATGCTCTATCTACTGAGCCAAAATCTGCTAGGGCTAGATATTAACTTCTTATTGGATGTATCATTGGTAAATATCTCTCATTCAGTAGGTTGTATTTTTGTTGATGGTTTCCTTCTCTATTCAGAAACCTTTTCATTTGATGATGTCCCATGTTTATTTTTTCCTTTGTTTCCTGTGCCTAAGGAGACATTAAAAAATATTGCTACAAGCAATGTCATGGGATTGACTGCATGTGTTTTCCTCTAGGAATTTTATTGTTTCATTTAAGTCTTTAATCTATTTTGAGTGTATTCTTGTATAGCAGGTGATCTAGTTTCATTTTATTTTTTTTTGCATGTATCTGTGCAGTGTCCCCCACACCATTTTTTTTAAAAGAAACTTTCTTTACCCTGTAAGTATTGCTTTGGTTCTATAGGATGCTTTGAGAAGCATGGACATTTTAATAATGTGAAATGTTCCTATCCATGAGCACGGTATGTGCTTCAATGTATTTATCTTCTTTAGTACCTTTCTTCAATGACACAGTTTTCTGAATATAGGTTCTTTTTTGTTGTTGTTAATTATCACCTGAGGATATTATTTTTCCATTGATTTTTAGAGATAGTGAAAGGGAGGGGGAAAAGACAGAGAAACATTGATGTGAGAGAGACACATTGGATTAGTTGCCTCCCACCTATGTACCCTACCAGGGTCGGGCATCGAGCCTCCAGCCAAGGTATGTGCCCTTTCCCCCAATGGAACTTGGGACTCTTCAGTCTGCTGGTCGATGCTCTGTCCACTGAGCCAAATTGCCTAAGGCACAAGGATAGGTTCTTTACCTCCTAGGCTAAATTTATTCCTAGCCTATGAAAAAGAAGGATCTCTTACCTTTGAGACATCATGGAGGGACCTGGAGTGTATTATGCTAAGTGAAATAAGCCAGTCAGAGGAAGACAAGTATCACATGATCTCACTCATATGTGGTACCAATGAACAAAATAAACTGATGAATAAAATAGATCCAGAGACATAGAAGTATGGAACCGACTGATAAATCTCAGAGGGAAGGTAGGGTTGGGTGAGTGAGTGGGTGGAGAGAGATTAACCAAATAACTTACATGTATATTAGAGGCCGTGAAAGAGTAGGCCTTCCTTCCCCCAGCTGCCCTCTGGCACCTGGCACCCAGGCTTCTTCCAGAAGGTCATCCGGAAGGACATCCATCTTATTAGCATATTACGCTTTTGTTATAGATATGCAAAACCAATGGACACAGACAATAGTGTGGTGAAGGCCTGTGGGTAGGGGATTCCAAGTACAGGATGAAGGGGGTCAATGAGGAAAAAAATGGGACATCTGTAATAAAGATAAAGATAAACTTTAAAAATACAACAATAAAATACAAAAAAGATTAACCTGTTAACCGAGCGGGACCTATAAATATCGATACGTCAAACATAAACACTATCAGGAGCGGGTAGGACATATGAATACGTCCTTGAAATATATGTTGCGCCTTGAGAGGGACGGTATATATATACACACACACACACACACACACACACACACACACACACACATATATATATATATATATATATATATATATATATATTTAATATATTTTATTGATTTTCTTACAGAGAGGAAGGGAGAGAGAGAGAGAGCTAGAAACATTGACCAGCTGCCTCTTGCACACCCCTTACTGGGGATGTGCCCGCAACCAACGTACATGCCCTTGACCGGAATCGAACCTTGGACCTTTCAGTCCGCAGATCGACGCTCTACCGCTGAGCCAAATTGGCTTCGGCTGAATCTTTATAATTGTTTATAAAATTTATAATTTTTTAATTCGATGTTTCTATTTTTTTTGTTGGTATTCTTTTCTATTTGTTTGTAATTTTTGTATTTTCTTTTGTGCTTTATATATAAGTAAATGAAAAAATATATATTTCATTTATTTTAAGTATAAATAAAAAAAATATATAAAATTACGTCTGCTGGGTGTGACGTACTAACACGTCCTAATGAAAGAATATGCGCCCGTTGTACGTTGTGTAATTAAAAAGGGAACTTCCCGGTTAACAGGTTAAAAAAAAAATACAAGCCTTACTCTGTTTGGCTCAATGGATAGAGAATCTGCTCACAGATGGATGGGTCCTGGGTTAGATTCCCGTCAAGGGCACATACCTTGATTGCAGGTTCCCAGCCCCTGTTAGGGTGGGTGTGAGGGACGACCAATCATTGTGTGTCTCTCACATCAATGTTTCACTCTGTCTCCCTCTCCCTCCCTTCCACTCTCTCTCAAAATCAATGGGAAACATATCCTTGGATGAGAATTAACAAAAAAAAAACAAAACAAAAAATACAACAACAAAAAAGTTTATTCCTAGGTATTCTTTATGCAATTGTAAATGGGATTATCTTAATTTCTCCTTCTGATAGTTTGTTATTGGTGCATGAAAATGCAACTGATTTCTGAATATTAACTTTTGTATCCTGCTATTTTACTGCATTCATCAATTCCAATAGTTTTTTGGTGGACTCTTTAGGGATCTCTCCATATAGTATCATATTCTGAAAGTAATGAGTTTTGCATCTTCCTTTGCAATTTGGATGCCTTTATTTTTTTTCCTTATGCTGAATGCAGGAGCTGCCCCCTGGTGGTCATTGCGCTCCCACAGGGGGAGCACCACTCAGCCAGAAGCAGGGCTCATGGCTGGAGAGCACAGTGGTGGTAGCGGGAGCCTCTCTTGCCTCCTCAGCAGTCAGACATCCTTAGAGGGCTCCTGGACTGCAAGAGGGTGCAGGCTGGGCTGAGGGACACTCTCCCCCTCCGTGCATGAATTTTGTGCACTGGGCCTCTAGTATTGAATAAAAGTGGTGAAACTGGGCATTCTTGTCTTGATCTTAAAGAAAAAGCTTTCAGCTTTTTACCTTTGAGTATAATGTTATCTGTGGTTTTGTCATATATGCCTTTGTTATGTTGAGGAATGTTCACTCTATTCCTACCTTGTATCTATTGATATGATGGTATAATTTCTACCTTTATTTTATGTGTTGTGTTGCAATTGATTTGTAGTATTGAACCAACTTTGTGTACTGGGAATAAATCCCACTTGATCATGGACTTTGATCTTTTTAATGGATCATTGAATTCAGTTGCTAATATTTTGTCAAAGATTTTTACATCTATGTTCATCAGGGATATTGGCCCATTATTTTTTTTTTGTAGTATCTTTGTTTGGTTTTGATATTAGAGTAATGCTGGCCTTGTAAAATTTGTGGGGAGCCATCCTTTCTTTAGAATAGTTTGAGAAGCATACATAGATATTAAGAAATGTTTAGTAAAATTTACATCCAAAGTCATCTGGTCTAGGGTTTTGTTTATGGAGAGTTTTTTAAGATACTTAATTTTGTTTTGTTAGTAGTTATTGGTATGCTCAGATTTTCTGTTTCTTCTGGATTCAGCCTTGGACTATTTTATGTTTCTAGGAATTTATCCATTTCTTCCAGGGTATCCAATTTGTTGGCATTTATATATTTAAAAGCCTAAGCGACTATCCAACTGTTTAACCGGCTATGATGTGCACTGACACCAGGGGGCAGATGCTTAACATACAGGCATGGAAACATGGAACAGATTGATGAATCTCAGCGGGGAGGGCGGGAAAAGGTTAACTAAAGATCTTATATGCATACTAGAGGCCCGTGCACCGGTAGGGTCCCTTTAATACAGTTCCTTGTGTTGTGGTGACCCCCAATCATAAAATTATTTTCGTTGCTACTTTATAACTCTAATTTTGCTACTGTTATGAATTGTAATGTAAACATCTGTGTTTTCAGGAGATGGGACAGATTGACCTCATACATAGAAATAAACACGGGGAGGCGGCCAAAGTGAGGATTAAAGATAAAGAGAGAACCTTAAAAGTAGCAAGAGAAAATCAGTAATGTAAATATTTTAGGTTCTTCAACAGTGGTTCTCAACCGCTAGCAGGGTCGCCTAAGACCATTGGAAAATACAGATATTTACATGACAATTCATAACAGCAAAATTATAGTTATGAAGTAGCAATGAAAATAATTTTATGGTCTAAATGAATAGCAGACTTCATGCTTATTCACCCATGTTAAACATTCTTGCAATATTGTAGAGATATAACCAGGAAGGATTCAGTTTAGGCCATTACCTTTTAGTCAGCTTATCAGACCAGTTTGCATAAGGAGGATTTCTGAAGGTTCCAACCTTTGTTATCCATAATTCGATATATTTTTTTCGTTTTTTTGTTAATCCTCACCCAAGGATATTATAAGGGAGAGGGAGAGACAGAGAGAAACGTTGATGTAAGAGAGACACATTGATTGGTTGCCTCCTGCACGCTCCCCGACCAGGGCTGAGGGTCAAGCCCGCAACCAAGCTATGTGTCCTTGACTGGAATAGAACCCAGGACCCTTCAGTCTGCAGCTGACATTCTATCCACTGAGTCAAACCAAAATTTTATTATTATTTTTTAAATTAACTTTGAGAGAGGAGATATATATATATATATATATATATATTGATTTGTTGTTCTGTTTATTTATACATTCATTAGTTAATTCTTAAATGTGCTTGTGGGGATGGACCTCACAACCTTGGCATATTGGACAACGTTTTAACCAACTGAGCTACTCGACCAGGGCCTTTCATAATTTGTTCTTATTCCATGGAGCTAAAATGGAGATGAGGGACCGGTTTGGTTCAGTGGATAGAGCGTCGGCCTGCGGACTGAAAGGTCCTGGGTTCGATTCCGGTCAAGGGCATGTACCTTGGTTGCGGGCACATCCCCAGTGGGGGGTGTGCAAGAGGCAACTGGTCGGTGTTTCTCTCTCATCGACGTTTCTAACTCTCTGTCCCTCTCAATTCCTTTCTGTGTAAAATCAATAAAATAAATAAATAAATAAAATGGAGATGATTCTTGGTTGCTTTCTTTTCTGATTAATATCTGTTTTTCCCCCCTTTGGAGAGGGGAGGGTGGAGGAGAAGAGGAAGCAGATGAGTACAGGTTTACTATTCCTTAATCTTCACTTCCCAATATTAAAAAAAAAAATTAAGTTTTGTCATATGTTTGTGGTAAATTTATTTGGCATCACATTTACCTGAACTACTCTATTAATGGTCTCTTACCCATTTAGTGTGAATATTCTGACATCTCGATGCAGAGATGCTGGTGTGTTTATTTACAGGAAGTTGCTGCTGAGACTAATGTACATGCATTGTACACTTTTTAAAATTTGTAATACTCTGAATTCTGAAACTCATCTCTTCCTATGGCATTCAGAGAGGGGATGGTCAACTAATAAGGTACATTGAGTAGATGTAGATTTAAATCGGGCATTGGCAAATTGGCCTGTGGGTAAATTCAACCCACTGCCTGCTTTTGTAAATAAAATTTTATCAACACACAGGCATATCTACTTGTTTACATATTGTCTGTGGCTGCTTTCCAGTGATGAGGGAGAATTGAGCCTAAAGTTAAGACAGAGTCCATGTGGTTACAAAGTCCAAAATATTTGCTCTCTGAATCTTTACAAAAAGTCTGCTGACATCTGATCTAGATTAGGTAAATAAAGTTAGGCAAGTGTGAATTAACTGTTGTGTCATGGTGGGAGATTTAAAATTTGAAGTGGGAAATTGTTATCTCTACAAAATCACTGCCTGAGATTTTGCCAGTTAGTATCTTGTTTTGTATCTTCTAACATCAGTCTCCTCTTTAAACTCTCCTTGGGGACAGCTTAGCAGAACAGGAACCTATAGTACAGTTGATCTAATTCATCTATGTGAAGGAAAGACTTATAAGTTCACAGTAGGCTGTTATCTGGATGAAAAGGGTAGAGTGTGGTTGAATTATTAGATCTATAGGAACCTTTCTGGAGAAGGGAAGAGCTGCTATTAATAATTACTATTTTTCCTATTTTAGATTCTGAAGCGTGTTCCCAATAGTGTGCTATGGCTGTTGCGTTTTCCAGCAGTAGGAGAACCTAATATTCAACAGTATGCACAAAACATGGGTCTTCCCCAGAACCGTATAATTTTTTCACCTGTTGCTCCTAAAGAAGAACATGTCAGGAGAGGCCAGCTGGCTGATGTCTGTCTGGACACTCCACTCTGTAATGGGCACACCACAGGAATGGATGTCCTGTGGGCTGGGACACCAATGGTGACTATGCCAGGTAAGCTACTTATAAATCATTGGAATCTTGTTCTTTTTAAGATCCCTTTTATGGAAGATAATTCCAGGTGAAATTGTGTATACTAGAAGCAACATTTAGGGGAGGATGGTAAAAAAACAAGACTTGTTCTGAGCACTTATCTCTATTCTCTGCCTGTGTAGTGTAGATACTTAACATAAATAACATTAATAACCTGATGCTAGTTGCATTCTTGTGAGTAATTGTTATCTTTCTTATTACAGGAGAGACTCTTGCTTCTCGAGTTGCGGCTTCCCAGCTCACTTGTTTAGGTTGTCTTGAGCTTATTGCTAAAAATAGACAGGAATATGAAGATATAGCTGTGAAACTGGGAACTGATCTAGAATAGTAAGTAAACTTTTCTATGAATTAATCATGATAGAGTGAAGGGAATCAGGAAAATTTAGAGAGAATACTGGTATAGGTGCTATAAAATGAAATAATACAATAAGGGTAATATAAAATAGTGGATTAGTTGCATTATCTCTGGAATGGAGAGAAACTTTCTAAACTTTCATAAGTGAAGTGGTTGATAGGTTTTATTATGCAGAGAGTAAATGGCTGAATGAAAGTAAGTAAAGTAAATTAAAAGACAAATAAGAGGAAAAAAATCCTAATATTAATAGCCTGGCTATATAAAGACATTTTAAGTCCCTTAATAAAGACATAAACTGGGAAATGAACAGACAACTCACTGAAGTAGAATTAAAATGGTTAATAAGACAAAGTTTCAACCTCCGTAGTAGAAATATAAATTAAAATAACATTGAGGCATAACCATTATTTGCCTATAAAACAAAAGACCTTTTTTTTTTTTAACCTTACTCTACTTTCTTTTAAAAAATATATTTTTATTGATTTCAGAGAGAGAGGGAGAGGGAGAGAGAAACATCAATGATGAGAGAGGATCATTGATTGGCTGCCTCCTGCGGATTGAGCCCACAACCCAGGCATGTGCCCTTGAACAAATTGGAACCTGGGACCCTTCAGTCTACAGGCTGACACTCTATCCACTGAGGCAAACCGGCTAGGGCTAAAACAAAAGCTTTTAAAAATACATTTTTATTGATTTCAGAGAGGAAGGGAGAGGAAGAGAGAGAGAGAAACATCAATGATAAGAGTGAACAATCATTGGTCAGTTACCTCCTGCACACCCCATACTGGGGATCGAGCTCGCAAGCTGGGCATGTGCCCTGACCCGGAATCAAATCCTGACCTGGTTCATAGGTCGATGCTCAACCACTGAGCCATGTAGGTGGGGCAAACAAAAGATTTATATGATACCCATGATGAGGGAGTATTGAGGTGCTGGCCTTTTCATATATTGGTGAGTAAATTGGTACAACCATTCCTCAAAGTTATAAGATACTTAAAAACAACAATACCCAGAGCTTTGACCTTAATGCCACATCTTCACTAGAGCATAAGAAAAAAACAACCACCATAACTTAAATGTCCCAATAGGTGGGAATTAGAGGAGTGATGCTTAGATAAGTGATTCTTACAATTAAAAAGTGTTTATCTCTTAACTGTGGTTTTTCTTTGTGCATTATGGGATATTTTTTTTTTCCTTTGTATTTTTCTAAGAAGTAGCATTAAATGGAAGTTTAAAGAGGCTACCTCTTTGAGTCAGATTGCCTGGGTTTGAATCCAGGCTCTCCCACTTATAAGCTTGTGACTTTAGGCAAATTATGATAGTTTCTATGTGCCTTGGTTTTTCCATTGGCAAAAACAGGGATGACTGATAGTGCTTACTTTGCAGAGCTGTTGTGACAATTAAAAATAGGTGTTCTGGCCCTGACCAGTTTGGCTCAGTAGATAGATAGTGCATCGGCCTGCAGACTCAAGGGTCCCAGGTTCGATTCTGGTCAAAGGCATGTACCTTGGTTGTGGGCACATCCCCAGTAGGGGGTGTGCAGGAGGCAGCTGATTATTGTTTTTCTCTCATCGATGTTTCTAACTCTCTATCCTTCTCCCTTCCTCTCTATAAAAAATCAATAAAATATATTTAAAAGAAAAAAAGGTGTTCTGGCCTGTCCAGCATGGCTCAGTGGTTGAGCAACAACCTATGAACCAGAAGGTCATGGTTCAATTCCTGATTGGGACACATTTCCAGGTTTCAGGCTAGGTCCCCACTGTAGGGTGTGCAGGTGGCAGCCAATCAATGATTCTCATCATTGATGTTTTTATTTCTCTTTCCCTCTTCCTTCTCCTTTGAAATCAATAAAAGTATATTTAAAAAAAAAAAAGGAAAAGAAAGGTGTTCTGTGTAAAACACAACAGTTCTTGGTATATAGTAAGCATTCAACAGTGGTTAAGTATTTTCATAATTTTATCCATTAAATATCATTTATATCTAAGGAAAATGGGTGAAAATTTTTAGTCCTGGCATTAAAAAAATTAATATTCATGTCCATCATCCCAGAGATAACCACAGCAAATAATTTAGTGTCTTTTTTCTTTTTTTTACTCTTTGGAACTTAGTTGATTTCTTACAGTGTATTGTAATGAAAACTATTAATTTTATAATGAACACTTATATACCTGTGATCTAGATTTCACCACTAAATTTATTATGCTTGATATCTGTCCATCTGTTTATTCCTTTAGCATCTAGCAATTCATCTTATTTGATGCATTTTGAAGTAAATTGCAGATATCCGTACTCTTCTCCCTAAACACTTTAAATGTGGACATCATTAATTAGTTTAATGTTTCTTATTTTTTCTTTTTCTTAAATATTTGTATTTCAGAGAGGAAGAGAGAGGGATATATATATACAGAGAGAGAGAGAAACATCAGTGTTAGAGAATCATTGATCTGCTGCCTCCTGCATTGGCAATTGAGTCTGCAACCCGGGCCTGCGCCCTGACTGGGAATTGAACTGAGACCTCCTGGTTCCTAGGTTGGCACTCGACCACTGAGTCAAGCCGGCTGGGCCTGTTGGTTCTTTAAAGACATGTTTTTTTTCAATTATAGTTTACATTTAGTATTACGTATGTGCCTTAGCTATTGTAAATGGTGCTTCAATGAACATCTTTGCATGATTAGGTTTGCCTGCATCTCTGATTAATTTCTTTTGAATAGATTTTAAAGTGTTTCTGATTGCCAGAGGGTAATAAACATTTAAAGTTCTTAATGTACACATTGCTAAATAAGCAGTTTATGTTCTAACCAGTGGTATGTAGGAATATACAGGTGTCATATTTTAAATGTGAAAATGAGATGGAATGGAGAAAGCATGGTATCTTGGATATATTTGTTTAAGAACTAATTTTTTTTTAAAGGATGTGAATTTGATTATAAGTGTTAGTGTTATGTTAGATGTGATCCTTCCCTTTTTTAGCATTGAGGGAAGGTGAAGTTTCATCCTGTGTTTTATCAAAGATGACTAGGTATTTAGGTAGGGAAAGGCTAGTTCTGAGTTCCTGCTGTTTGTAAACTTAGCTCTCTTTTTCTCTCTCTTTTTTTTTAAATTAGCTTGAAGAAAATTCGTGGCAAAGTCTGGAAGCAGAGAATATCTAGCCCTCTGTTCAACACCAAACAATACACAATGGAACTAGAGCGGCTCTATCTACAGATGTGGGAGCATTATGCAGCTGGCAACAAACCTGATCACATGATTAAGCCTGTAGAAGTCACTGAGTCAGCCTAAATAAAGACTCTGCATAGGAGGATTACCCCTGTACCTGAGCCTCAACCTTCAGGGGAAAGGGAACTAGATAATGTACTTTTTACTTATCTGTATAGTGTCATATTACAGATGGGTGACAAATAAGGATAATAGAATAAATAGCACAGCCAGAGTTGCTTTGTGCATGATAGGAAGAGACACAAGAGAAGGGAAACTGCTGTTCTACAAGAAATCTCCATAGGATTTTACAAGGAATCTCCATAGGATTTTACAAGAATCTCCATAGGATTTTGCAGCAACCAGGTGGTCTGCTCTCCCTTGGTCTTCCATGGGATGGTTAGTGGAGGGAAGATCTAGATTGTCCAGCCGTTTTGTGATTCCATTGCTTGATAGTCTTCTGAATTAATTTTTTCTTTATATTTTTGGTATTGGAGCTTTTAAAAATGTTTGGTTTCAGGTGATTTTATTCATGTGAAGTGTGTATGATTCTCTTGCGATAAGGTTTTAAACTAAAATGTTGCTTGTTTTAGTTTCTGAACTCTACAGATTAATGGGAACTTTGCTGGTGTAGTCTTTTTATAGGTTTTATAAACCACTTAAGCCTATATCAGTCATTTGAGTGTCTGACCTAATGAATGGAGCTATCAGTGCTTTTTGATTTATTTAGATGATTCAGAATTTTCTTTTTCTGGCCCATTTCCCCTTCCCCCTACTTTAAATTTTCTCCTGTAACTCAACTAACAAAACTAAATCTGTTTCAAAACATCCCAGAGTGTTTCTCTAAAACACATCATGTAGTGCCAAATGAAACTTCTTAGGAATGATTATTAATTATGAAGGGCACAGTTGTGATACTATCATTGATGATGATATTGATTTTTTTTGGCCTAGTTTTCATCAGTGTTTTATCTTCAACTGCTCCTCTATGCTGCTTCCCGAAGTAATAGTGTGTGATGAGATTTTTACCTTCCTTTCTAAGGTTTTTTTTTAGTCCTGTTCTTCCTATTTCTGTCAGCAGAGATGAAATCCCAGGTAAGTATAAGTATTCAAATATTTGATCACTAAGTTAAAGTTATTACAAATACATTAAATAACTTTCATCAAAAACATGTTATGGGTGAAAAGCTCTGAAGGACCAGCTATGTATATGAGTAATTATTTTTCAGACCTTCTAGGGTATTATGTAGGAACTGTCTTCTGGACTTGAAGTCTCTGTGGATTCAGCCATAGTAGTAAACTGTACTGCTATTTGGTTTGGAGTTACAAATTTAGACTTTAGGCCACCTGGAACTTGAGTTCTTGGTATTAAAAACCATAGGAATAAAATTATTGAATTTCAACAAATGATTGAGGACTTGAGGCTTAAACAAACCAACATATGAATATATGTTTTTGTCTTGCTATACTGCACTTATGCTATTCAGTAACAGTAACAGGTAATTTTTTGTCTGCTAGTAGTGTTCTAGATTATTGTGTCTTTTCAAAGCACTAAGGCAGTGTACCTATTCTGTAGTTGCAGCTGATGCCTGAATGTATCCTAGCTGACAAATTATTGATTAATAAGAACTTGAATTCCTGAAAGTCTTACTGTTAACCAAAATCTGAGCAGGAGTCTCAAATATAATTTTTAGCCAGGTTACATGTGAATGAACTGTATCTTTTAACAGTGTAAATCAAGGAACATCAGTTTAGGAATTTCTTAATTTATTTTTTACATGATTGAAATATTAAAGGTTGCCAGCATGGTTGCAGATAAACTGATGTTTGAAATTCACCAAACTACTTAATGTGGAATAAGATGATATACTTCTAGTGCCCTCAAGGTTGTGACCTTACCGTCATTTTACATAGCACATCATTTCTCCTATAGGGATGAACTTTCTCCTGGCACGAAAGTAGCCGCTCCGGTTAAAGCTTTGCTTATTGTAACAGGCTTTGGTTTCCAGGTAATATGTCTGTGGAAGACTTAATTATGAATAGAGATATAGAGATCACTGGAAACAAATTGTTTTTTGTATTATGCTCTGCTTTATGAAAAAAGTAAAACATTGAAATTGTGCTACAGAACTCAGATGTTGTCTTGTGATCTTTAAAGTAATTAATAAATGAATGATTTGTCCTTAATATGGCTGATGTAGTTTGTGTTCTGTTAGATTGAGTGTTGGACAGAATAATTTGGTCATCCAATGATGAAACCTAAATTTGAACAGATGACAAAGCATTCATCTCCCAGCACATCCATTCATATTTGTTCCTGTTTTGCTTAGGACTGCTGTGGCTTCAGCACACTTGTGGTCTCATTCTTTTTGTGGACTCTTCCTTTCTGCTCTGAAGGGTGGTTTGAGGGAGGGACCAAAACAAATAGCACTGCATCAGGGACCAGAACATGTTGCTTAGCTGCCGGCTTTCTCAGAGATATAAATGAGAATCTTTTGCAAAAAGATTTCAGGTAATTTACCTCATAACTTCTGTGGGTTGTGACCCTCAAAGCCCTAATGTGGATTAGTTTGTTTCCTAAAAGATAGTGGGGGAAGAAGCCTCCTCATAAAAGTTCTCATTCCCACCCTTTCCTATTTGTTAAAAATACACATCAGTTATTAAAAGAAGTGCTTGTGCACCTCGAATAAACTTGTGTAACTTAACATTTGATTCCACTTCTAACCCACTTGTCAACTTGAAGCATATGGCTTTTAATATTAACTACAGCTAACATTCAGGTTCTTCCCCCAGACCAATGGTCAGCAAACTCATTAGTCAACAGAGCCAAATATCAACAGTACGACGACTGAAATTTCTTTTGAGAGCCAATTTTTTAAAACAAACTGTGTAGGTAGGTACATTGTTACTAACTTAATTGGGGTACTCTGAAGCTGGCCTTTGCTAAAAACTCAAGGGGCCAAAGAGCCGCATGTGGCTCTCAAGCCACAATTTCCTGACCACCGCCCCCAACCTCTGAGGCACCCAGTTCCATAACTACACCCCCATTAAAAAAAAAAAAGGCTTGTAAAGCAGTAAACTTACAAGTTTGTTATAGAGATAAGACTATAATGATAAATGTCTTTTATCCAATTCCCTATCAACTCAAAGTACCTTTATAGACAGATGAGCAAAAGTAGGTTTGCAGTTGTGAGTACTCAAAATAGTTTATTCTTATATTTTAATTATTGCATTTTCATATGAACAATTGTAAACCTACTTTTGCTTATCCTTGTATGTAGACAGTTTGATGCTTAAGAGTTTAGGTTTTGGAACTAGTGCTTCTGGACTTTAATCCCAGTTCTGCCACTTTCTAGCCACGTATGTGATCGCTGTTCAGTGAGTGCCAACATTGCCTACTTTTTAAAGTGTTATAAGGAATAAATATACATAAAACAATTGGAATAGTGCCTTGCATGAAATAAACTTAGTGCTATTAATATATTTACACGCAGGGACGTGTTATTTGTATTGTTTGCCAAATGGTTAAATTATGTATAGAGAAATAGGCACAATCTAGAAAGCATTTGTTCCCCCATTTTTCTCAGTGTTGTTTGGAGTGAGTGCCAAAAATCTTCAAGTAACCAGCCCCTTTTATCTCCCTGGTTTGAAGAGTTTTGGAAGCTAACGTCGGTCGGTGTTGCCAAGCACTGTTGGGTTGCTGCTTCGCTCTTATCTAGGGGACTAGGTGCCCTCCTCCCCTTTGGAGGGCAGGCAAATAGCCTTAGAGGTTTGGGCAGTTTAAATCAAGGAATGCACAGGGAACCGAGCTCGCTTATCCAAGTCCTTACAAGGATGGAGCTTTGGGAGGATTCAGCTCAGTTTTTGTCCGGTCACCCAAAAAGTTAATTTAGGGATTGCTAAACTATGAATTCTGCGGGAAATAGTGCTTTCAGGACAGATAAGCAATGCACCGTGGAAGCGATTTGATTCCAGAAGCACTAAGGCTGGGCGCCAAGTTTCAGTTCATATCCGCAAAATATAAATCCTCCTCACAACCAAGCTGTGATAGGTGGATATAGAGAGGGCTGGAACACTTTAGGTCCTACCTTCCACTGAGCCTGGACTCTATAAAAGTTGGTCCGCACCTCCTGGCGAACCTCACAGTTGCTCAGGATCTCGCCTTCCAACCTTCATGGAGCTGAGTGGCGGCATTCAGCTGCTACAGAAGCAGGTAGGTTACTGAAGGGGCTGTGACGGGTTCTGAAGTGGGCACAGTTTTGAAAGCTCATCCTAGTTGAGCAGACTTAATTCAGGACGCTCTATGCCCTGGATACTTATTGTCCACGAACTTTGGGACTGAGATTCTGGTAAAATATTTTGCCTGTTTCCACTTTTCAAAAAGGACTTTTCAGAAGAAAGGATTTTTTGTTTTGTTTTGTTAGTGATATTAACTGCTAAATCAAAGATGGGGAATGAAGGTGGGGCATGGAGGTTGCAGTGTGAGTATGAGGGAGTCGAGGTTAGGGAGGTGGCATGAGTTTTTGGGGAGGGTCTAGGGCTGAATGGTGGAAGAACAGCTGGGGGAGTGAGGCATGAGTGAGGGTGAAGGAGGGTGTGTAGTGGGGGTGTGATTGATGCCTGATCTGTGGAAGGCTGGCTGGCTGGTTAAGGGGTCTAGGGGATAGAAGTGGAGATGTGAGAGAGGGGGTGGGGTGATGCCTGATTTGGTTGGGGATAAGAGGTGCGTGTGAGGAGGAGAAGTGCAGGAGTCAAGGCCTGAATGGTGCAAGACTAGCTGGAGGCTGGAGGCAGGATGTGGGTATGGGGGAAAGGGATGTTGGTCTGTTGGAGTAAGACATCTTGAGAAGAGGTGGCAGCAGGAGCAGGAGGTGTGTGTGTGTGTGGGGGAGGGGGGTTAGTGGAAGAGTTGAGGCCTGATTGGCTGGAGGCCAGGTTGGAGGCAGGAAGCAGTTGTGGTGGGAAGGATGTAAACCTGCTGGAATAAGACATTCTGATGAGAATAGGGAGTGGGTGGTGAGGAGAGGAGTTGAAGTTAGAGGCAGGAAGTGGGAGTGGAGGAGGGGGACGCCTGCCGGAATAAG